CACTGTGACCCTGGGAGGGACCGACCATTAAACATGTCACTGTCATTAGTACACTGTGACCCTGGGAGGGACCGACCATTAAACATGTTACTGTCATTAGTACACTGTGACCCTGGGAGGGACTGACCATTAAACATGTCACTGTCATTAGTACACTGTGACCCTGTGTGGGACTGACCCTTAAACATGTCACTGTCATTAGTACACTGTGACCCTGGGAGGGACCGGCCATTAAACATGTCACTGTCATTAGTACGCTGTGACCCTGGGAGGGACCGGCCATTAAACATGTCACTGTCATTAGTACCCTGTGACCCTGGGAGGGACCGGCCATTAAACATGTCGCTGTCATTAGTACGCTGTGACCCTGGGAGGGACCGACCATTAAACATGTCACTGTCATTAGTACACTGTGACCCTGGGAGGGACCGACCATTAAACATGTCACTGTCATTAGTACACTGTGACACTGGGAGGGACCGACCATTAAACATGTCACTGTCATTAGTACACTGTGACCCTGGGAGGGACTGACCATTAAACATGTCACTGTCATTAGTACACTGTGACCATGGGAGGGACCGACCATTAAACATGTCACTGTCATTAGTACGCTGAGGCCCTAGGAAGGACTGACCCTTAAACTTGTCACTGTCATTAGTACACTGTGATCCTGGGAGGGACAGACCATTAAACATGTCACTGTCATTAGTACACCGTGACCCTGGGAGGGACTGACCATTAAACATGTCACTGTCATTAGTACACTGTGACCCTGGGAGGGACTGACCATTAAACATATCACTGTCATTAGTACACTGTGACCCTGGGAGGGGCCGACCATTAAACATGCCACTGTCATTAGTACACTGTGACCCTGGGAGGGACTGACCATTAAACATGTCACTGTCATTAGTACACTGTGACCCTGGGAGGGACCGACCATTAAACATGTCACTGTCATTAGTACACTGTGACCCTGGGAGGGACTGACCATTAAACATGTCACTGTCATTAGTACACCGTGACCCTGGGAGGGACCGACCATTAAACATGTCACTGTCATTAGTACACTGTGACCCTGGGAGGGACCGACCATTAAACATGTCACTGTCATTAGTACACTGTGACCCTGGGAGGGACTGATCATTAAACATGTCACTGTCATTAGTACACTGTGACTCTGGGAGGGACTGACCATTAAACATGTCACTGTCATTAGTACACTGTGACCCCGAGAGGTACTGACCATTAAACATGTCACTGTCATTAGTACACTGTGACCCTGGGAGGGACCGACCCTTAAACATGTCACTGTCATTAGTACACTGTGACCCTGGGAGGGACCGACCATTAAACATGTCACTGTCATTAGTACACTGTGACCCTGGGAGGGATTGACCATTAAACATGTCACTGGCATTAGTACACTGTGACCCTGGGAGGGACCGACCATTAAACATGTCACTGTCATTAGTACACTGTGACCCTGGGAGGGACTGACCATTAAACATGTCACTGTCATTAGTACACTGTGACCCTGGGAGGGACTGACCATTAAACATGTCACTGTCATTAGTACACTGTGACCCTGGGAGGGACCGACCTTTAAACATGTCACTGTCATTAGTACACTGTGACCCTGGGAGGGACTGACCATTAAACATGTCACTGTCATTAGTACACTGTGACCCTGGGAGGGACTGACCATTAAACATGTCACTGTCATTAGTACACTGTGACCCTTGGAGGGACCGACCATTAAACATGTCACTGTGACCATTAGATCTGACACTATAATTTGATGTATCAGAATGAATTAGATGCACTTAGCAGAATCTGTTTTATTTTATAGATTCATATTGTTAAGAATTGGTAATTGTCTTACAGATATTAATTATTTTAGGTGGATGATGCGATGGGGTGACTGTTTCTGTTGGATATTTGCTTATTTTTTTTCTAGTTCTTACCTTATTTTATTGTTTCAGTTTCAGCAGCTCAGGAAGGAGCTGGAGAAACGGTTCCCGGGCATGCTGAAAATTGTAAGTACTAGGGATCTACTGATTATTTTTTAAATGTTGTTTAATTTTTTCACTTTAGAGCCGATAAACAGTAAACTTTTAGGCCCATAGCTGATAATTTACCGATATTCTGTAAAATTATCGTTTTGAAAAAAGAAACCAGTTAAACAAATCTGTTTAATGAACATGTTTATTACATTTTTTTTCTTTTAAGTGGTAAAGGCACAAAATATACATGCCAGCCAGGTGTTTTTGTTTTCAAGAATATTTAGTGTTCCTCTCCCTTCCCTACCCCTCCCAGTCCCTTAGTGTTCATCTCTCCCCCTCAGTGTGTAGTGGTCCTCTCCCCTCCCTGGTGTGCCCCATTATCTCTTGTAGCATGGCCGAGCGCAGCGGACCGTAGTACAGGAGCTTCAGTTTCCGATAACCGGCCGGACTGGCAGGAAGTGTTTTCTCAGAGTTCTTCCTGTCAGTCCAGCCCGGTACAGGAAACTGAAGCTTCTGTACTGCGGTCTGCTCAACCACACTACACTGAGTGACTGGTAGGGGGAGTGCTGTGCGCTTCATTCTTGCGCCCCCAGACACAATTCGCCCTAAGACAGCCGCCTGATGGACGCGCCTGCCCTGCATGTGCTGTGCCACTGTGCCTCTCACATTATCTGTAATATCGTTATCAATAATGGCCGATATTTGCCAAAATATCAGCCGAACCGATTATTGGTCTATCCCTAGTAAGTTACTTCAGGCCTGTCTCAAGTAAAGTTACCTCTGAAGGCATGGACTAATTCAGTTACCCCTAAAACAGTCAGGCATTTAATTCAATTGGCGAAGGGGATTTGTCTAATAGAGTGTCTGTCTTTATTACGGCAACTGCAGCAACCTGGGACACTATAGTCACCAGAACAACCACAGCTTATTGTATTCTGGTGAGTAAAATCATTCCCTACAGGCTTTTTGCTGCAGTCTTTTCAGAGAAAGTGCAGTGTTTACATCACAGCCTAGTGATAACATCACTGGCCACTCAGCAGATGGCTACTAGAGGTGTTTCCTTGAGCAGTGCTGCACAGTGTGACTGACATGCAGTGTCTCCTCCCTCTGCATGCAGACACTGAACTTTCCTCATAGAGATGCATTGACTCAATTCATCTCTATGGGGGAGATGCTGGTTGGCCAGGGCTGTGTTTGGCTTGTGCTGGCTCTGCCCCTGATCTGCCTCCTTCAGTCTCAGCCAATCCTGTGGGATAGCATTGTGATTGGCTCAGAGAATCCCCTCTGTCAGCCAAGCAGGCAGATCGGGAGCAGAGCCAGCAGCTGCAGACCTGAATAGAAGTGTGTGTGTGTGTGTGTGTGGGGTTTTTTTTTTTTTTCTACATTTAGGGGGCAAAGGGGAGCTAGATGGTGGTTTTCACACTGTCAGGAATACATGTTTGATTTCCTGACCCTATAGTGTTCCTTTTTAATGTTACTGTGTCTGGTGTTCTACCCTAGGATGGTGAAGGTACCCCAACTTCCACAGGATGGTTTGAAGTGACTGTGGATGGGAAGCTGGTGCACTCCAAAAAGGTAAGATGCATGCTGGATTTGTCTGGGGCTAGTTCTCCTTAGGATATTCCTACTGGCTGTTGGCTAAACTCTAGAGAAGGTCTTGACACTACACGTGCCATGATACTCGTACAGCCTTAATGCAAAACTAAATGTGTTTTCTGTTACTGTCTCCTTGGAAGCCATGTTTAACTCTTGCTGAGAACATGTAGGGACTTTAACCGTGTAAAAATGGTTTCCAGATTTTGTTTGCTTAGTACAAAGTGTGGGGCCTAACATGCCCTGAGGAAAGACTGACCAGGTACCCCCATTTATGGTTAACTAGTAACTTAGAATGAGTACTGTATATTGGAACCCTCAACACACATCCTCTGTTTGATTCAGAAGAATGTGCAAACTTTATATTCTCCTTGCACTGCATCAATCTGATGGTACCTGGATCTTTATACCTTGCAAGTTGTGTTAAGATGACCATGTAACTAAATAGAGCCCAGAAAAGGCTGCTTTGTATTAAGTGATTGAAACCCCTCTAGGCTGAGAATCTCCGGTTTTGGTAAAGGATTCATGCCATTGGTACACACGCTGTAAATGTGCTGCATCACTTATCTTTAGACTAAAACACTAGAAGCTCCTACCTGTACTCATCCTGCCCTGATAGAAACGGATAGAAAAGCTCCAGGCTTCAGATCTGGTGTTTTACGATCTCTCTAGGCGAGCTATGACATCTTTTCTGTGTGTTCTATTTCTTTTCTTACCAATGGAGATAATGCTTGTTTACGAATATAAAAATAGTGCTTCTGATTGTAGGATTTGCTTCTCCCAGGAAGTAGCTTGCATTTATCAGCCAATCCTGGTGCTTTCATGGTGATTAATGTGAATAGTAAATTTTATAGCGCTTGTGGCGGCAATGCTATTTAAGAATGTTAAATAATTCTCCAATTCCTCCCTCAATGCTCTGCAATGCATCAGTGCACCTTTTAGATACCTGATACAGTGAGGGCCAATTTGGGATTTTACAGGACTGTGCAAGAACATTGACCCTTTGGGGGCCCAAATTACATGGTTCTTTCTCTTGTTTCTCTCCCTGCAGAATGGCGATGGCTTTGTGGACAAGGAGGCAAAGCTTCAGAAGATCGTGCTTGCCATTGAGGTGGCTTTGAGGAAGTAACGGGCAGAATGTGGTCATTCTGCAATGTGTGAGCTAAGAAGGTGAGGAGCGCAGTAAGAATCTGGTCTTAACACTACACAGAGCTGATTCTGTCTGGCCAAAGCTCTGTTCTGCAATAAATGTGAGGGTCCAAGTACTGTAATGCCTTGTTGTGGGTTGCTTTTACAGAGTTAATGGACAGACATCTATAAACCTTTTTTAAACAGCTACCAAGTCTGATTGCTTCTCATTGGTCACTTTTTTTTTTTTCTCTTCCAGGTTGGACGTCCTTCTTGCTTCTTTCATTTTTACCTCACGCCTTATGAAGGGAAACGCTAAAATGCCCACTGGGCGCGGCTGAGCCCCGATATCCTGCGTGCTGCGTTCAGATGACAAAAGCGACAGACACCCATCCTTTTCCTGCTCAGACAAAATAAAAATTTGTGTAAGAGTTTTGATTTTCCTAAAACCAGTTGAATGAGATGGGTTTGTAGAGTGACCTGACGCCGTGAAGGTACAATAGAACTGTCACCTGGACATTTTGTCTTATACTGTAAAACATCAGAATAATCTGCAGGTCTGCAATTTAACACATTAAAGAATGTGTATTTTTTTACTTAAACGTTGGTTTACACTCTTATTATACTTCATTTCCAAAAACCAGAAGGTTTGTGTTTCCCTCTCGCAGCCACTCTTGGTGGTTTTTATGTGAAAGGCTGGCAGTGATGGGAATGGCTAGACTATTTGAGCTGAGCAAACGGTGAATAACCGTGCCTCCTCCCTGCCCCCAGACTGCACTACACATATGAAACAAATGGACACTGTGCCCCCAGTAAAATAAAGTGTTGAACATAGTTCGCTGGAGGCTTAGCATGGCGGTGGGGTCCCCAGTTCTCAAACCCCAACTCGTCTTATACTCAAGTCAATGTCTGCAACTTACATTGTCATAATACAGACCAGGACCGCCGGGCTCATTACAAGCCCGGCAGTCCTGTTGGGGGCTGGCAGCGAGCTGTAACTTACATTTCCTGCAGCTCCCTTCTCCTCCGTGCTGGTCAGCTCCACTGTAAATCTTGCGAGAGCTGCGGTGTCAGAGCGTTGCCATGGGTTACCGTGGCAATGCTCCGCGCGGCGCTCAGACCGCGAGACTTACAGTGGAGCTGACCGGAACGCAGGAGAAGGGAGCTGCAGGAAAGGTAAGTTACAGCTCGCTGCCAGCCCCCCTCCTACACAGCCCATCTACTGGGCCACCAGGGAATGAGAGCCCCCCTCCCTGGACATGTATTAAGCAGGGAGGCGGGATGAAAATAAAAATGTAAAATAAAATCAATATATAAAAAATTTATAATAAAAATGCCCACCCCCACCAAGGCTCTGCATTCATTATATACACATACTGTAAATAAATATTCAATTAATATAATTTTTTGGGATCTAATTTTATTTAGAAATTTACCAGTAGCTGCTGCATTTCCCACCCTAGTCTACTCGAGTCTAAGTTTTTATTTTTTTTTCTCCAGTTTTTTTGGATAAAATTAGGGGTCCCGACTTATACTCCAGTATATAAGGCTGGTACAAACAAACTCTTCCTATTGCCTGCATGGGATTGGGAATGCAAAGCACCTTGGGCATATTTTGTGGACCCTGCACTAACATCCCTGTTAGGGTTTGAATGATTATCGGTGCCACCAGTTTATTAGAGCCGATTATTCTTCATATCTTTGTTGATTGACATGTCTTGCAATTTTCCAATAACATCTGATCTCCCACATCCAGAAACTCTAGGTAAGGGGTCACAACCTCAGGTCACCCCTCTCTGAGTCCCCACATGCAGATATCAGCTGAAGGCAGGGAGATGCGATGGTGAATAATCTCCTGGGCTGGCTGACCGTGACAGGAGTGACTGTCAGCGCGTTCGGTTAATGCCAGATTTGTGTAGAAATTGTTCTTTGAAAACCTTTAAATATTATCAATCCGGTCTGGAAAAATCTGACTCCCTGGGGCTAGGCTTTGTTGGCTCTGATTATTTTGACCCCATAGTGGGTGGAGTTTATCCCAAATTTCTGTTGAGGCAGGGTGATTCTTATTAGCAAAAGCCTTGTTATACAGTAATTCTGTTGGGGTTAATAGAGTTCATTACACAGAGCAGTGTTAGTATCACCTCCCGCTTGGAGATTTCTGGTTTATTGGAGCAAATAAGACTGAACTTTTATTTCTTTTTTTTTTTTTACATTCTATGCAAGAATATTGTGAAAACCATTCTTAAAGAGTAGCAAACAAGTGTAAGGTCACAGGAGGATTATACTGTTGGGGGGGGGGGGGGTTACATAACATGACAAATGCCTTAATGTATGAGCGTGGTATGACTATTTTTGGTCTACAAGATTCTGTAATTAGGCCCCTCATTGTCAGCACCAGGCCCACTGGGCTCTTAACATGGCCCTGTATACAGGGAGCACTGACAGTCCTGGGATATTATACAGAGAGCAGCACTATAGTATTATACAGATCGCTGAGCATATACTTAATGTCCCAATCTCTACACAACTAGTACCAGAATACAAAGCAGCCTGGGGGGGGAAGGAAGGAAGAAAGTATGCCAGCCCTATAAGATATAGAATTATACAGTAAGCGCACACAAGCTCACTGATAAACAGGCTCAAAGACAGACAAGTTCACTGACACACACAAGCTTACTACAGCTGAACTCGGTTGCATAGACACAAGCTCACTAAATAGAAGCTCACTGGCACACAAGCCGTACCATCTTAACAGCTTTATGGGACAACCGGCAAAGCAGTGCACTGGGGCCCTTCCTACACAACTCACAGGAAGAAAAATTTAAGTTATTAATAAATTAAACTATCTTTATTGGTACCTCCAACAAATGTCTGTCCCTTTTCAATGACTTAGTAGCTTTGGCGGCCACTACAGGCAAGAACGTATAATTCTAACTAAACTAGAAAATCGGGAACATGGCAGTGTGTGAAGGGTGCAGTGTGCGACAGGTGCTGTGTGTCTCTCTCTGAAGGATGCAGTGTGTGACAGGTGCTGTGTGTCTGAAGGATGCTGTGTAAGGATCGACTGATTATTGATCTGGCCTATATTATTGGCCAATATTCTGAATTTTCAGCAATATCTGTATCGGCCCATAAAGATACCGATAATGCAGACCAGGGCCACCATCAGGGCTTCTCGGTTGTCGTGGGCCTGTAGCACACTCTTAACTTCCCAGCAGCTCCCTTCAGCTCCCCTGTCTAAATCTGGTTACCATGGCAACGCTTTGCGCTGCACGCGATCTGCGAGAGCTAGACGGGGGGGGCTGCTGGGCCCCTCTACACAGTCCATGCCACCGGACCACCAGGGAATGCCATCTCTCCCCTCCCTGGCCAGGTAAGAAGCAAGGAGGGGGGACTTAAACAAAATGTTAAAACATTAAAAAATAAATTTTTAAACAATTTAAAAAAATGCTCCGCGTCTCCCATTTTACACACATTACATGCCTACAAACACACACTGCATTCACTATATACAGACACACAAACTGCATCCACGGCAACGCTCCGCACAGTTAACCACTACACACACTGCATTCACTAATCAAATACTCTCACTGCATCCACTACACACACATATAAAACATAAACAATTCTGACTGCCATGTATGTTTTGTGCATTTACCTTAAAAAAAATTTGCAAAAAAGTAAATAAATAATAAACATGTTCAGTTAACAGTAGATTTGTGTAGAAACTGTGTATTTTTTCGAAACGGTAAATGTACAGACTATTGGTAATCGGCCTGAACGTTCATAGATTATCGGTATTGGCTCTAAAAAAACAATACTGATCGATCCGTAGTGCTGAGTGTGTTAGAGGTGCTGTGTGCGTGACAGGCGCTTTGTGTCAGGGGTGCGGTGTGGGTGCAGTGTGAGATGGGTGCTATGACCAAACCCCTGTTTTGTTAAATATTAGAAACCTTTCATTTCATCTGCTTTTCGTGTATTTTGCCCCTTTTGTGCTTTCAATAAAAACCGAATAAACCACATAACAGCCAGACTACCTACCATGGAAGTGTGCAGCTCATTAACCACCGTGGTTAACCACAGTTATTTGACGAATGGCTGGGTGGTTGCCCTTCGTTTGAACGAACACGTGGCGGCGGCCGTTTTAAATTGTCGAACACCCAGCGGTATTTTGTTGTCGACAGTGTGGAACTATTTTCGGCCTTAATTTCATACGAACACCGCTGAGGCTAATCAACATCCATCCCATTCGTCTCCAGTTGTACGAACACCGTGCCGTTCGGTACATTGACTATACGAATGAGACCCAGGGCCGTTTTTAGCACGGGGCAGTTGCCCCGGGCCCAGTTGCTCCTGGGGGGCCCCAGAGCAGCTGCCCCGTGGGCCCGTGATTTCAGCAGCCCCCATGTACCCAGCGGTGCAGTCGCACCGGCCCGCCAACTAAGGAGGCCCCCTGGGCGGCCCATGCACTAAGGGCCACCCGGTTACCATGTGTCAGCAGGGGCCCAGTCGGGCGCTGTGACGCTTAAACAGCGCGACCGGGCCCCTTTCTGTACCGGCTGGGAGGAAGTGAGTGCGGCATGTCACTTCCTCCCACCGGAGATAATAGCCGCGTGGAAGGAGGAAAGCAGGGAGGAGGGGAGTTCTTCAAGATAACTCCCAACTGCCTCAGCCTGCCACTGGACCCCAGGGAAACCACCCTCCATAAAAAGGTAAGAACCTGGAGGGTGGCTAAATGTATGTCAGTGTGTTTGTGTGTGTCAGTATGTCTGTGTGTTTGTGTTTGTTAGTATGTCTGTGTGTATGTCAGTATGACAGACATACTGACACACAGACACACTGACAAACATACACACACTGACACACATACATACTGACATACACTCACACACACAGACATACTAACACACACACAGACATACTGTGTATGTCTGTGTATGTGTTTCTGTCAGTGTGTGTCAGTATATGTCAGTGTATGTGTCTGTTTTTATGTATGTGTGTCTGTGTGTATAACAGTATGTCTGAATGTGTGTCAATATATTTGCCAGTATATATTTGTATAGTGTATGTGTCAGTATGTATCTGCGAATGTTTTTATGTCTGTGTGTGTATGTGTCAGTATATCTGTCAGTGTAATTGCGGGTTGGGTGTAATGGGGAGCGGGGCGCAGGGACACGGCCCAGGGGGCCCAAGAAAATGCTTTGCCCAGGGTCCTATTCATATTATAGACGGCCCTGATGAGACCGACTCCAGGTAGCTGAATCTATGGAGCTAATTTTCAACAAACAGTCGGACACATTTCAACAAACAGTCGGTGAACCAACTCTTTAGCTCCATGGCGTTTGAACTGTATTCGTGGGATCTGAGCGCTGGCTATATTGAGCGCTCAGATCCAAGCTATCTGGGGATATGTTGAACATGGGGATTCCGTTCGGCAAAATACAAGTTATTGATTTTAATACATTTTTGTTATATTGTAAAAAGAAAATATTTTCCTATACCTGGAGATAATTGAGTTTAATCCAACCACTTAAGCCAATTATCTCCAGGATAGAGAGGAGGGATTTCACTGTTTGTGTGGGTGTGTTTATTATTGTAATGTAAAATAATTGGCTACTGTATTTTGTGTCACAGTCTTCCTCAAGGTCCCCGTGGGAGTAACCCTTCTGGAAGACCTGCATAAAAGGCCGAGCTGTGGCCGTCAATAAATTAGATCGTTTTACCCCTTCATGAAGTCTCGACTCATGTTTGGGGAATTGAGGGCTATAATCACTACTCTGCTCTACTTCAGCTGGGATTTCGGGAGAAGCTACAAGGATCGTTCTTACAGGGATAACAGGATCCGTTACAGGTGCTTTGTGTGCATGTGAGGGGTTCTGTGTGTGCGTGTGAGGGGTGCTTTGTGTTCGGGGTGCTATGTGTGTGTAAGGGGTTTTGTGCCCTGGTGGTCCGGTGGTGGTGAGTTGTCTATAGCCTGCAGCTCCTCTGGCTGCAGACTGTCTTAACTCCTCCTGCGAGCAGAATACTATGTCATTACACGGCAACGCTCCGCACAGCATGCTCGCGGGAGGAGTGCTCTGCCTCCCAGGTCCTCCCGTCCTCCCTGTCACTAACGAATGGCCTTTGGGCCGGTGAGGGAGATCTTTGCTCTCCTCACCGGCCTGAGAGGGCCCACAACATGAAAGCAAGTCTCCTCTGTTGGCCTGGCCTGGGCACATGGGCATCACGGTGGGGCTCCCATGCTTGTGGAGCCCCCAGGCAACTATCCAGCGTGCCCATGCGGAAACACGGCCCTGCACACAAGCTCACTAAATAGGAGCTCACTGACACACACACACACTCACAAGCTCACTACAAACAAGCTCACTGACACACACACAAGCTCACTACAGACAAGCTCACTGACACACACACACAAGCTCACTACAAACAAACTCACTGACCGACACACAAGCTTTCTCACTAGCAGGTACACACACACACACCCCTCCCCCCCCCATTTGAGTATATCAAGCCTACCTGTCACTGGAGGCTGTTGCTGGGAGGTCAGGTGTGCATATTCTGGCCTCTTCCAACTGCAGCAAGGTTTGCTGCTTAACATCGGGGCGGAGCTTATGTGCGGGAGGCGGGTGTGTATGGGTGGGTCGAGCTATCCTCGTGGGGGCAGGGCCTGTGTGCGCGAGGCGGACCAGGAGCCTATGTGCAGGGGAAGCTGCTGGGAAATCAGAAGGGAGTCTGTCAGTGCTCCCTCTGGTCCCAGCAGCCTCAATGCAGTCCCCAGCACCTCTCTATAGCCCCCAGCAACTCCCAGCAGCTGTCTCCTGGATTCCCTCGGATTGTAACATGCTGTTACAGTCCGAGGGAAAATAATAAAAGCACATGGCCCAGCATAGTTGCCTGGGACAGACTCCAGCTTGCTGAAACTGTCCCGGCAAAAATGGAACAGTTGGCAACTATGCAAGTAACTAGCCAGTACAAATCTATCTACATACTCTGGCCAAGCCAATACAGCAATCCTACATTCATTCCCTTCACATGCATAGATCTGTTAGTGCAATGATATATATTGTATGTAATACGCAGATTGTGTTCCTGCCCATGTAAACACCCAAATTGCACCTGGCAACCTACTGTGATTTCATTAACGGCTGATGTGAAATGACTCTCCTTTTCCACAAAATACAAAACTGTGTCTGAGTACAAACTTTGTATGCTATGCCGACAGCCACTTCAGATGCCTTACACTTCATTTTGTTTCCTTTCAGTAAAGTTTTCTTCCACCTCTTCGACATCATTCATTCGGCGACGTTCGGATTCCCACTTCCTTATGTCTGGATTCTACAACTGTTCCTGTGATGTTTTAGTTCTTTTTTTTTCTATCTGATTTGTTCTTATTCGTTTTATTGTTCGCTCCAAATAAAGAGGAGGTGCTTGTATTGTCAGGCCCTTATATACCCTGTATTATCTTTGTTCTGATTGGTCATTTTTTCTTTAGTGTAAGATCTGTTTTCTGCTGGAGTTTGGTAGAGAAACTTAAACGCAAAATATCCCCCTCCTGTCATTATTAAAATTATAGGTACACTACATTAGCATAATCTACATTTCTAGATTAAACAGACTGGAAGTATAAACATTACATGACTCTTTAGAGGAAGTGTTTCGGAAGGCTATGTAAGTGATTTAACAAAGTGATTTAACTCCTAAATGGCAGAGGATTTAGAAGGGAAACTGCAAGGGTTTGATCTGTATACTAAAACGGCTTCATTAAAGGGACACTCCAGACCCCTAAAGCACTTTAGCTTGTTGTAAAGCTTTATGTGTGGAGTGTTTCCTTTTTTTTTTTTTGCAAAAAAATGCAGGTTTCTACAGAAACCTTAAAAATTAACCTGGTTATACCCCCTTGGCTGTCAATCACAACCAGTTCTGTTACTTCCTGGTTTGTTTAGCTCAATGGAGAGGCAGCAATTGCACAGAGCATCTGCCTTGCAAACACCTCTCATTGAGTTGCATTGGGAAGTCTGTGATTGGATAGCCACAGAAAGTCTGGGTGGGGTTAGAAGCGGAGGGCTTGCAAAGGTAGCAGACAGGAGATCTGCAATTTTTGCAAGCAGTTTTTAGATATACAACCAATAAGAAAAATCCATTATTCAATACATGCATGTTATCATTTGGTGTATATCTATTAAGCTTCAATTTGTATTTATTTTGTATTAGTGCAGTGGAGTTTCCCTTTTAGATACCATTGTTTTGGTGCCCATAGTATCCCTCTAACTGTTACTGGTACTTTCAAAACATAACACAAGGCTCTTGCCTTGTGCAAGTAAGTAAACAACAGCTAAATCCCCATACATAGTGTATGAAAAATACATGTATTAAATGGCTTTAGTGTTTCAATGGAGTGCCATATAGCAAACATTGTATACAGTGTCGTTCTCACGTGATAAGGCCAATCACAGGGTGAAGTACGCTTTTTTTTATTTTTTTATTGTCAAGGCGTACTTGTTATGGTTACACCACAACATGGGTTTTACCAGTGACCAGCTAATCTTCAAAGTGATTGGTGGCCAGCTGCTAAAAGTAGCAACATGTTTGAAAACCTACTAGTAATTATTAGCCGCTACAGATTAGCGACAGATTCTTCCAGCTATTTCCTACTAACGGCCTCATTTTAATATTGTTCGATACGTTTTCCAAATAATAATATATTTATTATCAATATATCAAATTATTAAAATGTTTTTCAAAATATTAAAGTTTGACAACATATCTAAAAAATGAAATTCGCTGCAACGCTTGTGAATGAACCCAAAGTATTTAAGATAGAAAAGGCTAAATGCCCCATGCAGGAACTTCAGAATGTTTAGTGTAAACTGTATAAGTCATAATGTGTAACCTCTGTTAGGCAGGGTTATTTACTAACATGGGAATTGTCGGGAATTCAAAGTGAATTCCAAATTTTAGGTTAACGTTGTTGAACTGGAAGCGTCACTGATTTGGAAAACTTTTCCAGATCGCCTACTTTGGCCTTACATTTAAAATTCACTTTGAATTCTCTTTGAATTGCGGACAATTGTCACTGTATTTTCCAGGACACGTTCCCCTCATTCTGCGTATGAGCAGTGAGAGGAAAGAGCTGCCCTGCCTTCTGTGGGATTCATGTGCTGCAGGAGGGAAATTCTTTAAGTACGCAAAGTATTAACAACGCTGTGGAATATGTTGGTGCTATATAAATAATTGTAATTACTCTTCCTAAAGAGTAGCATATAAATACGATATACCAGGGCAGTGCTTTTCATGTGCAGTTCATGGAGGATCTGGCTGGTTTAGGTTGAGCCGTTGTACCCGTCATGCCCTCTTTATTATCCAAGCATAACAGAATAGATTCACTTTGTGCCATATAACAGGTGTATTAAGGCTGAGGTTAATATGCCTTTTAACCACCAGGTGGTGCCAGAGTCTAAAGGATTCTATCTATTCATCCACAAGCAGTGTATACTGTATGCTATCAGACCTGTGGTATACTCAGAGATCCCATGTGAACTGAATTACAAGATAATTATTTATGCAAAACACATTAAACTGACTTTTCCAAGAACCAGAATAGTCTGTCCTGGTGAACCGGAATCATTACAGTAATAATAAACTATTTACTGATGTAACGTGCCTGGTCTTACACAACTCTGGGTACTGGTACTGGGGGTAAAGGGGAATTAATGTATTACTATAAATTAACAATTTAACAGTACTTACCTCTACCCTGTAAGTGGGCGCTTCCATCTTGGCTGTCTGTCAATCAGTGTTATTAGCTCTGCCCATTGCACCTGTCAGTCAGTATAGAGAGAGACAGAAACAATGTTACTATTTTC